CGATGATACAAAATATAACAAGTGCGAGTGCAGTCTAGTATGAATGATGTTTGAAAAAATGTTTAGAAGAATGTGCCAGAATGAAACAGTTATGTGAGAATCGTCAAAGAGGAAACATAGGTATGTAACGGTTAATAACACGCGTCTTATTTTACCTTAAAATACCAAAAATATATTTTACAGAAGAGTACCTTGTTATACAAAAACTCACTGTGTATAATCGACTAAAATCTCACAAATTCCTATCATCCACCTCTCAACTACGATCCAAATTCCATTAAATCCCCAGTGCGGAGAGGAATGAAAACGACAATAAAAGAAATTAGCAAACAGGGAAACTCGAAGAAAGAACAGAGGAACCAAGGACCAGGGGAAGGAAACGAAGACGAGCTGAAACCAAACGTTGATATCGTAACGAATTTTTGAATATTTATCGCAGTAATTGCTCATCGTGACCAGACTCTGGTACGAGTGTAAGAGCTTCGGAAGCACAGAATTCGGAAGCAAACCAATATCAGTGGACCACCTGTGCTCAATCCTCGTTAAGTCACACGATTACGTGTGCCAGTTGCCCTTGGTCGCGTTGATAATTTGATTTCCTCAGGGACACCGAAGAATGGCCAGCAACTACATCACTGCCTTATCTCTCTGGCCCTATGCTGCTCGACGACGGAAAGATATTCGTCGATTCATCGTCACAGCCAGGCTTCTCTAAAACGCCTTCCAATGGAACACTCTCATTGGAAGATTTCCCAGAAAGTTTTCCGAAGATTCGAGTTTAAGTCCTGACATCAGGTTTCGCGCGCGGGGTCTTCGAATTTAGACAATGAGGTCGAATCGACGAATTGCTTCTTTGGATCAGACCTATAGATAAGATTGGTGAGTTCCTTCTGAGAAGCGAGATACACTGCAACGAATTCGAGTCTTACGAGAAGCCTGAATTTTGTAAAAGGAAATAAGGAATCTTTCTAATAATTTTAAATTATTATCTTGAGAATATAGATAGATGACGTCTTTAAGAACACGTATAGGTCGATTTTATTATCGACGTATTACGATAAAATTATATTGGAAATTTTTTAAATGACAGAATTATTGCTTTCACTTTTAATATTAGGAAATTTTTAAAAGTTGCCAAAATTGTAGACAATATTATGAAATATGTGAGTGCCTGAAAGAAATAGTTGTCCGGAGGGAATGTTGGAGTTAGGTCAGTGGTAAAGAGCAAATATTCGAGTGAAATCAGTGGTAAAGGGCGAATATTAGAACGAAGTTAGTGGTAAAGAATTAATATTAGAGTGAAGTCAGTGGTAAAGAGCGAATATTAGAGCGAAGTCAGTAGTAAAGAACGAATATTGGCCAGCGAAATCAACGAGAAACGAGTGCATACAGTGAGAAATAACGAGTCTTAGAGTACAAACGTGCGAGAGCTCAAACCTTTTCAATATCCAATTATACCATCATTACTACACCTAAAGATCATGCGTGAGTTTTGCTTCCCTAACCTCGTCATACCAACACGTAGAAACTTAAAAATTAAAATCGAACCCCTACATAACATCGAGATCCCTCCGCTATTTGCCAAATTATAGAAATCGTTTTTGAATTATTCGAACTGCTAGATCTTCGAACAAGTCTCGATACCCACTTCCCGCGTTATTTATCAGAATCGCGAAGCGCGTTCAGAAAATGCGCCTTTAATAGAAAAATTAGCGCTACAAGCGAAAGAAAGGGACGACCTAGGGAGCGATTAAAAAACGATAATCCAAGCGTATGAGAATTACCAGCCGTGTAATAAATGTACAAGTCTAAGGAGACACGCAAGAAAGCTGCAATGTGAACCCGGGCCGAGGCCTATGCCTGAGCTTGCCCCGTGTCTCGTGCAAACGGAGGCCCTCGCGTTCTTTGCACGCCATCTGAGCGTTTTATAATCGGTATTCTTTCCTTTCTCCTTTCTTCTCCACCCCACCGCGTCCCTCGGCAACGTTCCCTGTACGCTTTCTCCGTTGGAAAAATGCCTGGCTATTAATTTGATCTCACCTCCTGCAGCGACTAGCAGCTTGACAGAACGTACCACCTAGCAAGACAGACAGCATAAATTAACCACCCGATCGTGCCTTTCGAATTTCCTTTGTTATATGCCACGGGCAAAGAGTGGAAGGCGAGAAAAAAGAGGAACGAAGACGGGGAACGAAACGAAACGAAACGAGAAGTTGCTAGGATTTAAACGAAACAACTAGGCGCAACAACTTCCAACGGTGGCAAACGGGATTAAACGAGCCTTCCAGCTCGCGAGACATTTTTCATGTCGTTCAATGCAAATGCGAGCGCAATAACGGGGAAGCTGTGTCACGCACCGGATGTAGGCAACATTATGCTAACAGTAATACTGCATAATTGAAAAGTAAGTGCAACGCTGAAGGTTTTGGGACTTGTAAGAAAGGGATTGATATCCAGCGTGATTTTTAGGCATCTAACACCGTGCAACTGGGAATATCGTGTAACTGAGTGGTAAGCACATGGTTCGAGGTTTGGCAACTGCAAGGAGAATGATTTGTGACCTGTGTGATTTTCAGATGTGTGACATTGTCCTGGCAGCAGTGTTGCATGATCGTGGAGTAAGTACATGGTCGAAACGTTAGGCTTTGGATGGAAAATGATCGGCTGTCTGTACCATTTTTAGGTAAGCGATAATGACCTGGCAGCGATGTATCATTGAGAAATAAGTACACCGTTGAAGCTTTGAGGTTTGAATGGAAAATGATCGATAGCCTACGATTTTTGGGCAAGTGACGGAACAAATTATAAACACAGTCTTGAAACTCAACAGCGATATCGACTCCCACTGTTCGCTTGAATAATTCACCTGAAACCTCGCAAGCAACAACGATCAATCAACGAAAGCACAGTGTCCCCAGGAACAGGCAAGTTTGACGCGGACTAATCTGATCGCCACCTCGAATAAAATACTCGAAAACTACACCTATTACCTGCTAACTTACACCAAAACAACAATGTAAGACTCGATTGTTCACGATGCACACTGTTTCGATAGCCAGCAGCACCCCGCGATCACTGCTGAGCTTATAACTCGAGTGTCCAATCGGTTTCCAATTTGACACAGAATAGGTTCCATTAACATTTCCCGAGCGATGCTTTAAGTCCGGATTCATTCCGTCGGGTAATGGCGAAAAGCGGCAAAAGGAAGGCGGGAAATCGGCGAAAGCGGTGAAGTAACAGCGGGGAAACCGTGCTACCGGAGACGAGGTAGAAGACGGAGAGAAAAAGAGCGGTGCCGAAGGTAAAGGAATGTGTACGAAGCTGGTAACCGGTAGCTGACTCGTACCGATAAGAAGTCTCGATCCGTTTGGCCGTGCCGTACCTTCCACAGCATCCTATCCTCGTCACTCTCTCTCTTTCTGGCCAGTCGTTCTCCTTTTTACATCGGGAATACGACATTAACTGACGGACGAGAACGTCGAGCTTCCCGGCCCCGATGTACGCGAGGAACGCGACAAACCCCGTAGCCGTATTGAGCTCCAAACGAAATAGGGAATTTAAGTGTCGCAGCTCTGATGAGATCTCTCTTTCTCTAGCCTCGTCTCCTTTTCACAGTTGCCCACTTTCCAGAGAGCAGCCTCTCGCGTAGCCTCGTTCCCAGGTTCACCGTCCCTCTCCTGTTTTGCACACGATACACGGCCAATCCCTCGGGAATTCGAAAGTCCTACTCTAAGCCCCCTTTTCATCTGTTCCTCATCGTCTTCCGGCTACGGATCGCGTCTTCATCTTCCTTCCACCCGGATCGCCCAGTTTCTCATCGATCGCGCCGATAATGTCGAATCGAGCACCGTTCCTCCACTTGCTCGCGGAAACGGCTCGACTTATTCATGAAAGGACGAACGAGTTCGATAGATGCACGCCGGCAGATTGAATTGTAAAGTCTCGGCCCTCAGCCGAGACTAAACGAGCAACCAGAGAGCTGCTGCAACTTGGACTCCCTGATGGCTGACTCGTTATGATTCGGGAGACCGGGTCAGGCCAGTTTCCTGGCTCTTCGTTCTTCGTTGTTATGGACAAAATTGAGGGTAGAATGATTATATGGATAAACTGGGGAATGAGGTGTGAGGATTACGTTCTCACCCTCGCCAATAGATAGATTCCTACTTCAAGAAGGTTCGAGGACTTGCGAGAAAGTCCTCGGCGAAGCCTCGCATAGTTCCTAGGCCACCTAAGTATCCCCGATCTAAGGCAGAGCCTGCTAGAAGGGCCTCACTGATGAGTCCACTAGCAGGTCTGGGACGAAACGCATCCCTTCCTTTTACTGTCGTCCTTCTACCTGCTACCCTACCAATAGCAACGACGACCACGGGAATACCAACAGGTCAGCCACATAGGAACACTAGTCTATCATAGGAATCGCAACAGACTAGACCGAAGACAACGGAGCCCTCAACATAAAAACATTAGACCACCGTAAAGTGATGTTTGGAGAATCGATATCAAAGAAGCAAACTATAGGATACTGTTGTAGTAAAAAGAAATTAATACTAAAATAAATTCCACATCTTAGGTCGCGAAGCGTATGAGGCAATTGATAGACAGTGCTTAGACACTTCCGAGACAGTGCTTAGGCAGTTCGTTGAGAGGAGTTATTGAGAGACAGTTACTAGGAAAGAGTATTAGCGGTCATTTCTTATTGTTCAATATTATTAGACCCCCCTTACAAACTTAACATTGCTATTCCACGAACGGACCAACGAACATAAGGTAAATCAGGGATGCTGTATGGTATAAAATAAAATGGTTCAACTCTTCTTATTTATTATATAAGTATGCATAAAATATTACACGGATAAACGACGATAGTTACAAGTGTCACAATTTTGAACCGGCTTTTCCAACGATCTTCCTGTCACATCTTCCAATTTGATATTCACGAACACGAATGGTGATGAATTCGGATGTTGTGTCGATTGACATAGATGCAGCAAGAATAATTATTATGCAGTATTGGCAGAGCATAGAGGATTAGGCTTGCATTTCACGCGCCATTTGAAGTCGCAAACTTGTTCCTTCTCGTTAAACTGGAGACCGGCAGGGCATTTCATGGGGATTGGTGGGTCCACAGTACAGACGAAGTAAGTATCGCATTTACATTGGTGCCGGACCATCGTGTTGTTTTCGAACAAATGATCATCGTCCGGACACTGTGGTGCCAGCGGGTTCTGCGAGTACACGTACACCACGAACGCAAGGAATATGACGAAAATGCCTAAAAGAGATTACAATAAATCCATTTATCCACTCCACTGGTAAATTCCAATCACTACTCGAAAAATTTCAGCGAATCCGAATTTTTGGGGGCCTGTGAGTGAGCAAAGTCAGAGTGTCAAAGGATCGACCCTTTCTTCTATTAATGTGTTCATTGATGTATATAGATACATATACGAACACGTTATCTCCATATCAGTGTCGTATCAATTGAGATGAAATTGTTTGATATTAAAATTAACGTTAAAATAAAAGACGGAAATGCAAAGAGAAATATTTTGGAGAGTAGCAAGGTTCAAGATTCACGTTGACGATACAATAGATCTCCATTTGTCTGACCCGTTCGAAAATTTGTCAGCTCACGTATAGTTAGGACAGAGGAAAAAATAAAAATTCAAGTTCAGATAAGGATAAGTAAAAATTCGATTGGTAGAAATCTGATTAATCAGGTTCTAATTAAAATTTGGATTTAACAAAGAGCTAAAGGGAATTTGCACTGTACACGTTTTGAAATAATAGAATTTAATAATGACACTGATAACAGAAATGATGTTAACAATGATTTTTAAAACACTTCTAATCGTATCGAATAAACAAATAGACAAATGAATAAATAAAGCATAATAATCGAAAGAATTGAACTGTATAACCTCTGTACGAACGACGTAATAGGAAATGGCCAAAATTCGGATAATAATCTAACATTCAGCTGTTTAGCAAATAATGAAGACTCACGAAAGCAATCGGCTTACCTTTCATCTTGAATCAAACTCTGATCAAACTCTGAACAGAACTTGCTTGGTCAAATTTCAGTTTCGCTTTATATATTCGATCTGCCGATTAATTATCTACGTACGTCGATGGTAGAAAGCTTGTACGTTTCATTGGATTTCGTTATCAATCGAGCAAAGATAAACACCATTAGCGTACAAGCAGGTTACATCGTAGAGAGATCAAAGATAACCGATGGATCTGTGATTAAATCTTTTGTGTGAAATTCGGTATTTTCGAGAAATCGCTGGAATAATAACTTTAGTTATGTTATGGTGGGGATATGTTTCCTCAGTTGAACGAAATATGGACGAGCATTCACCATTTTCTCTAAAATTTTCCTTAATTCTGTCATAAACACCTGGTCACTTGTTGCTGCCAGAGTTGAATCTTTTATGTATATATATTTTAATTTTACTTATTTATTTATTTATAAACGGAGAAATAATCAACTCATACGTACATACTAAAAATAATAATTAATATTGCAAAATACAGGAATATATAATATAATATATTATATAATATAATTTTATATAATATAATTTATTATTACTATTATATAATTTTATTTTATATTATATAATATATTATATTATATATTCCTGTATTTTGCAATATTAATTATTATTTTATAATTCTATTATTATATAATATAGTATAATGTAATATTATAAATTGTCCTATTTGTAAAACCTATGTTATAAGTGACTTAATTTTATGTTTTCAAATACAATCATACATTTTTTGATGCATTGATCAATTTAGCTCGTTATTCTATGTGTATGCCAATGTCCTGAACCTGAAATTAATTTCAATATCGAATAGTAATATGCATATTTAGGCTGATGGAAACGGTTCTGAATACGAACTTCGTTTGTCATTTATTTTCAACCAAAATTTTGTCTTAATTTAAAAACAAGCTCTACGAACATCCTATTAAACTCAGATTTATAATCGATCGAGGAATCTAACTCAATTTAATTCGCAGGAACGATCATATTAAAAATTCACTTAAAGACAAACGTTTCTGCAGTACTTGACAAGTGGAAAAATGTGAAACGACATCATTTTTATCGAAATAAAAATGAATTAGAATGGAAATGCTATAGTCATTGCAGTGTGGTCGTATCAGTATCGTAGATTCATTTTACGTCACTTATTCGTAATTACGAAATAATGTTATAGCAGTAGTCATGTTTTATCTGCTCGAAGCTCACTTAAGTTAAATAATATTTCGTACTTCGTGTTTTTCCTAGAATTCACCTTATCTGTTAATTACTTCAGGAAAGATGTCGATCATGTTTCTTTAAACAAAATGATTCATTCATGAAAGTGCTAATTGTCCAAGAGCTCATTTCTTTTAATTAATACAAAAAAGAATTATCTCAGGAAAAACATTGTATTTCACGATGAGATTGTCATTTCACGAATTCGTAGAATTTTTATACAAGATAACGTCCTGATTATCTCCAGCAGTGATCAAGATTTGGAAAACAATTTACACTATCCAGAGAAGCGAACCAAGCAAACCTTAGAAATCGTCATTTGTATCGGAAAGCCTGAAAAACGGTGGAAGAGAAATGTTACAAAGAGAAGTACCTGTACTTGTGCATCCCAGAAAAAGGATGAAAGCGAATAAGAGAAAAGAGGATGCAGAATAATGGAAATAGAACGAGAAAGAGTAAAAAAACATTTTCTATTACATAATTTCAACTAACAGCCAAGTCTTAAAAAGCAACTAAACGAAAGAAAGAAAAATGCAGAATGCTGGATATAAAAAGAGAAAAAAGAGACTCAGCTATGAGAGACTTTGTAGCTTCCAATTGACAATACTTGAAAAAAACAGCCAATATTCAAAAAACCACCAAAATAATCTTAACCTAACCAACAATCGTATCGAAGAAGAAGAGAAATTTGGAAAGCTGAAGAACTTCCATAGAATAATGTTGAAAGTGAGCAAGAAAAAGGATCTGAAAGTAGAGATAGAAAGAAAAAGAGAGGAGGAACTTCCTATTAATTTCAACCAACAACCAAGTTCTGGGAAACAAAGAAACAAGAAATAGAAATATATAAAATGATGGATACAAAAATAGAAAAGAACTGAAGGATCGTCTAACATCCATCTATTCTTTACCACTGATCAGAATTTGAGAAATACTCCCCCCCCCCCCCCCTCCCCAAAAAGAGAAACAAAAAATACATAGAAAAGATTCGAGTAACCCTCGTAAACTCATTTGTATCGAAAGGATAGAAAAATTTGGAAAGCTAAAAAATTTTAAAACTAATCAAGACAAGGGACCTAAAAAGAGAAATAGAACCAGAAAAAGACAGGAGAAAATGATAGAAAAGGATGAAAAGAAGGAAGGTCCAACATCCACCTATTCTCTACTACCAACCAAGATTTGAGACAACATAACACAACTACCAAAGCAGTCAAAATAACTTGCTTCATACTTATCACATTTGCAATTACCGAAAATACACAGTTCCCTTTGACGAAGTTGATATTAATCTTTATTTAGATAAGAATTACGTAAATATTTCTATTTCCATCATATTTTACTTATTATTATCTATATACATATATCTATAAGTACGCATTACAGATAGTAACAAGAAAAGGAACCTAGAAACAGAGATAGAAATAGGAAAGGACAGGAAAAACTCGCAATTAATTCCAACCAACAACCGAGTCCTAGAAAACGAATAAACAAGGAGCAGAAACGTACAAAATGTCGGATATAAAAATAAGAAAGTAGGGAAGAAACGTCTAACATCCACCTCTTCTTTACTATCGACCAAGATTTGGGAGACAACGTAAAAACCATTGCAAGGGAAAACGAAAAAAAGAAAAAAAAAAGAAAAAAATAGAAACGATTCGTGTAACCCTCGTAGAGCCATCATTTGTATCGAGAGGGTGGAAAAATTTGGAAGGCCGAAAAGCGTGGAAAGAGAAACGTTACAAGAAAACGTGTCTATACTTGTGAAGCCCGGAGCAGGGACGAGAGGCATCGTGGAAGAGAAAAGGACGGAGAACGCGCGGTGGCAGGTGTGGGAGAGAGAAGGAACTTGGCCTGACATTCGGACAATGCTGGCGTGGTGCTGTCGCTTTCGGTTCCTGGTTATGGCGGGTGCACAATGCCTATTGTCGAGCAACCCACCGTACAAACGTGTGTGCCAACGCTTCCACACAACGGACCAGCTCCAGGTTCCTCATTTCGCCTCTCTGTTTTTCCTTAACTACACGCATGCTAGCTTTTCCCTGTTCCCACGCAGCGCGGCTAGTTCTCGTAACTTGTGGCTTTTTTGGCAAGGGCAATAAGATCCAAGGAAAACGCCGCGAAAGGAGAACGATATTGATCTCTTTTTTTCGCAAATACCTGGGTGGAAAGTCGGTAGGAAATGAAGCTCACGGATGAAACGACGTGCTAGAATGCGTCGAGTCTGCGATCCCATGCAGCCCGGGCACGGATTTCATCGTTTGTGCCTGATCGGGCAAACCTTTTCGACGTCTTAAAAGGCGACTTTAATGCGTTTTCGATCGATGAATACGCGAAGGGAATATTCCGCTGGTTTTCACGGCTTAAACCTCTTGCGTGATTTCGTTCGGCTATGTACTCGCGTGGTCCTTGGGTCGAAAACGTGTCGAGTGTGTGGGGCTCGTGTCTTTTATTTTCCCTGCGAAATTTCAGGTATTTTTAGGTCGAGAGTGAATCGATTACGTGGAATTCCGATTTTTAATTTTAATATATGTTCTCGTGGTCTTTGAATCGAAAACGAACCGAGGAAATATATAGATAGGGTATTTTTATTTCAAGTTACGAAATTTTTGGTATTTCTGGTAAATAATATTTATTTTCGCTTTGAAATTTCAGGTATTTTTAGGTCAAGAGTGAATCGATTACGTGGAATTCGGATTTTTAATTTTAATACGTGGTCTCGTGGTGTTTAAGTCAAAAATGAGTCAAGGGAATTTATAGATTGGGTATTTTTTAATTCCCAGCTAAGAAATTGCAGGTATTCTTTGATCGAGAGCGAACCAATTACGAGGAATTCGGATTTATAATTTTAATATATGATCCTGTGATCTTTAAGTCAAGAATAAGTCAAGGGAATTTATAAATTGGGTATTTTTAATTTCAAGCTACGAAATTTTGGGTATTATTGGTGAATAAATAAATTTTGATGTGTAAAATTCACGTGTCTTGTTTTTAATTATGTGCTAGAGGTCTCTGAGTGGAAAATGAATGGAGTATATACAAATCGCACTTTTTACTAAGTTATGGACCTAATTTTTAATTCAATTGCAGTCTTTGAAGTCGCTGTTTTGATACTGAATTATGGAACTATGGAAATCGTATTTTTACATCCAATTGTGTTCTTAATTTTATGTATAGGACGCTTACTCACACTGATGAAAGATTAATTCCTGTAAATATGATGTCCATACAAGAAAATTTCGCCAATTATCTACCTTACTCATTATTCTTCATTAAATCAATAAATTCACATTCAGGAAAGTAAAAATATCCGTATTAGAAATAAATTAGATATAGTTCATTCCACCATATTTTTTATTTCATACCTCTCACATAAAATTCTGTCACCATCGTCTACATGAAAGTATTCCATAAATTCCGAATAAATTAACTTTGAACTTGTAACTATTTTATACTGTTTTGCCAATTATTCACGTTTTCAAGTTTGGCGCTATAATTTTTCATCGCTTTCTACGCGATTCCTTTTTTCTCTTAAATTTGCTTCCTATTTGAGGAGGAAATTAAGTTTTCAATATATTCCACGCTCGCAGGAATATCGATCGATGAAATCGAGTAAAATGAATAAAGGTTATAATTCCTTGATTAAAGCCAATATCCTGTTTCTTTCTTTTACGCGTGATTAAAATGTGCGCAATGATATAATAGAAGGAAAGGAACGAGGGAATATGGACGAAAGGAAATAAGCCACGTGAGTATAAAACGCTGATTTCTATTTATTCAAAATTTAGTTTCCTAATTTCGTAT